CAGTAGCTAGAAGTACAAGCCTGTGAAGCCAGGCGTACTTCCAAGATCCTTTTGAGCCCTTTTTCTGTATTACAAACTAACATCAAATATCAAACTTAATTGAAGCCTACTTTGCACATGCATAGATCAGCAATTCTAAAACTATTTCTGGAGCTGGAGAGATAGCTCAGCAGTTAATGGCACTTACAGTAGGCCTGGGTTCAGTTCCCAGCACCTACGCTGTGGTTAACTACCACACATTACTCCAGTTCCAGGAGATCTAATACCCACTTCTGGTCTCCATGATCATTGTATGCACTAGTGTGCTTACATACACACAGACAAAATACTTAAACATATAAAATAAAAAAAAATAATATCAAAAAAATTTAAAACTATTTCTATGATTGATCATAAGTAGAGAAATTAGATATTGGGAATCATGTTTCTCCCTTAGAGGTTATGAATGTGAAAAAGAGCAGGCTTGGATGAACTCTGTGAAATATGTGTGAGATAAGATACAAAATGTAATAAAAACAGACTGATAGATGAAGATGGATAGAGAGATCATAGTGTGATACCCTTGGAAAGCATTCCCAGGACCACTGAAAAATGTTATTATATGCATGCTAAATTTTAGCTAACATCATACAAAAGAAATACAAAAGGAATGAATGCTTTCCAGGTACATAGAGAGATAAATTGGATTTCAGGGCTGGAGAGATGGCTCAGCGGTTAAAAGTACTGGTTACTCTTGCAGAGAACCTGGGTTTGGGTCTCAACAACCACATGGCAGCTAACAACCATCTGTAACTCCAGTTTCAGGGAATCCAGTGCCCTCTTCTGACCTCTGTGGGCATTGCACAACTCAGGTGCACTTACACACATGCAGGTAATACGTGCATACATATAAATAAAAATAATAAAATAAATTATAAAGAGAAATAAATTGGATTTAAAGAAAGCAAAAACCTGATTGATTTTAAGTAAAACATAAATGTGAAAAAAGAATGGGAAAAATGTATAGGAATACACAGCAAAAAAATAAGTGATAAGTCCAAAACTATCAGTAACCCCCCAAACTTAACTGAACTGAAATTCTAAATAAATATAGATTTATTAAGATAGGCTATTTAAATGCCCCTCAGTCTTCTCCATAAGATCACTCACATTAAGCCCATGGACAGAAATACAGTGATAATTAAAAATATAAGACTGGATTTCTGTGTGAACACAAAACAAAATAAAGGGTATGTCTACATTAATTTTAGAACAATGAGCTTTGGGGCAAATACTAAATGACTAAGAATAAAAGAAATCATTATAAATAATAAAAATGTTTCACTAGGAAATATAACTCTTATTGTATATGTGTCTAGCGTTGCAAGTATTTAAAATTCCCAGAGTTAGAAATAGAAGTGGACAAATATTAGTGAGGGAAAATAAAACACATTTCTTCTCAAGGACATGAGGAATGAATTTAACAATTAGCCATGTTTAAGTAATAAACTGTCTCAAAAAAAGCTTTAAAATATTCAATACCATGTCCTCTGAACACAGTGCAATAAAGCCAGACAGCAATAACAAATGAATGTTTAAAATCTCCACGTGTTTAAAAATCAGTAATTCATGGATTAAAGAAGACAATCTAGTGGAAATTATAAAATAGTAATGTTATGTAGCAAAATGTATGTGATACAGCTTGAGCAGTACTTGAATATTTATGGTTTTAAAAATACAAATAATACCAGGTATGGTGGCACAAGCCTTTAATCCCAGCACTCATGTACCTGGAAAGCATTCATTCCATTTGTATTTCTTTTGTATGATGGTAGCTAAAATTTAGCATGCATATAATAACATTTTTCAGTGGAATGCAGGAGGCAAGAGTACGAATTTAAAGAAGCATAAAGAAAAACCTGCTGTCTAATGCATATTCCTGTTACAGGAAAATGTGGAATGAAATAGTAACTCAAAAATAAAACCAAGTGGCTCTATGTCTCACTAAAGCCTCCTTAAAAACATGATATAAAAACCCTTTCTAGAGCTGGGTGTGGTGGCGCACACCTTTAAAGCCAGCACTCGGAGGCAGATGCAGGCCGATCTCTGTGAGTTCGAGGCTAGCCTGGTCTACATAGTGAGTTCCAGGCCAGCTGGGGCTACAGGGAGACCCTGTCTCAAAAGGACTAAATAAATAAGAGGAATGAGGGGGGACAAGTGAGCACAAAGTACATTGACACATATTTGAAAAGAACATGATGAAATACATTATTTTGTATACTAACCTAAAAGTTAATTTACAGAAATACATATAATAGGATTGAGGATATATGCCATGCATGATCCAAGTTCAATGATCAGTACCACATGCACACAAGACATATATGTATATGCATATACATGATAAAAAAGCAAAGATTAAAATTAATAAGATAAGCGGGAAAGATTTAACGAAGGAAATAAATATTAACTATAAAACATAAATTAAAATAAATATCATAAAAAGCATCAATGAAGTATGCATACATAATATCTGAGTAATTTGATTTTGAAATACACTAGAAAAACTCCACCACCTGTACAGAAGGAGATATAAATAAAGATATTTATCAATATCAATAATGGTAAGATATTGATAATGTCATGAGTCAAAGCATTAAACATATTGGGATATGTGTATCTAATCCAATTCTATGCCATAGAGCAGTGTTGAAGACAGGAGTTAACTGGCTCCACGTAAACCAGCATCGAAAGAGCCACACACAGCAGTCATGCTACAATCCCAGCAATGGGAAACTGAGGCCGAAGGATTACATGTTCAAGACCAGCCTGGGTTGCATAGTGACCTCAAGGGCAGCCTAGAACCTTGTCTCAAAATTTAAAAATCAGCAGGAGGAGCTGGAGAGATGGCTCAGTGATTAAGAGCACTGGCTGCTCTTGCAGAGGACCCAGGTTCAAATCCCAGTACCCACATGAGGGTTATCAACCATCCATAACTCCAGTTCCAGGGGATCCAAGGCCCTCCTCTGTCCTCCGTGGGCATTACACGACATAGGTGCACTTCATACATGAAGGCATAACTCTCATACACATAAAAAAAATTATTTAAAAAAGACCAAAAAAAATCAGCATGAATAAATTTTCTTAAAAGTCTAGTTGTTAAAGTCTGTTCTAATAAAATGTACATAAAATTTAAAGTTAATGTATAATTATAGTTCAATTCATCTATATATATACATTTGATATGTTTATGACATGCAGTGATAAAGATATAAGAACAATCAGCACAGAATTCACAGCACAGTAACTTCTACAATAAAAGAAAAAGAAGCCACGGGGACATAATGAGTTTTGACAATATTATATATGTTTATTTTTGTAAACTAGGCAAACAACGCTTGTTATATTAATATATTGTCTACCTCTAGAATATTTATAATAAACTGTAATAAATATGGAATTTTACATTATTAGAAGGAAAAATAAAAAATGTTTCACAATCTAAGACAATTACAAAACCATGAGACATGAAAGTTCAGATCAGCACATTCATCATGAATTTCTTCTGGCTGGTGCGCACAGAGATCCTCCTGCCTCTGCCTCCAGAATGCTGGGATTAAAAGCCTACATCACCACACCCAGCACCATCATGACTTTTTAAACTTTTAAAAATGTATTCATTTTTATTTTGTGTGCATAAGTGTTTTGCCTACATGTATGGAAGTGGACTCAAGAGCAGCATTGGATGCTCTTGCAGAGGACCTGGGTTTGGTTCCCATCACCCACATGGTGACTAACAACCATCTGTAACTCCAGTTCCAGGAGATTTGATATTCTCTTCTGACCTCCTCGGGCATTGCATGCAAGGGCATAATTAGACACATACAGGCAAAACACTCATACACATAAAATAACAATTTTTTAAAAGATATTATTTTGGAAACTTCATCTAGCATTTAAAATGTAGGAAAGATTACATGGAAACAAACAGTTATAGGTTGCTAGGAAAGGCATAAATTATTGGAGAAAGAAGCCCACTTGACAGACTCTATCAATCAGTCATTCACTTTTAAATTTGGCAGTCTACAATTTGCAAATCAATAGTCCTGCTGTTCCACAGTTAGAAATACAGACTTGCTGGGGCATGTTTGTGACAGTGAAAAGTAGAAAATACATGTCCATTCATAAGTGAATAATCAATTAACTATAATAATATAATAATGGATAATCTGCCATCTAAAAATACGAGATAGGGGCTAGAGAGATGGCTCAGAGGACAAGAGCAGTGGCTGCTCTTGCAGAAGACACAGGTTCAATTCTCAGCACCCACATGGCAGATAACAACCATCCTAACTCCAGTTCCAGGGGATCTGATGCCTTCTGATCTCTGCTGGCAGTGCATGACATGAGTGCACTTACATACATACAAGCAATACACTCATACACACAAAATAAAAATAATAAAATATTTTTAAAAATATGAGTTAGACCAACAATAAAACCAGACATTATTAAAGACCAGGCAGTATTCTAATATCAGTGTAATAAATAAAGTCTATGAGGTAAATCCTGTTTTCACACTTTATATATGAAAACTAGAGACAAACAAATTTAGATAACCAGCCTGAGTTAACTGAAGCTTAAAAGTTGCCAAGGCAGATTTCAAATTCAGACAGGCAAGTGGGTGTACTGCATTTACCATAGGTGATTCTACCTTCTATAAGTAACAACAGGGAAAGTCCTAAAGTGAAAAAGCAGCAGACAGAACAAGAAATACGACGCGATAGATTGTGTGCATGCATGATTGTATATTCATAGAAAGGTGACTGGAAGATCGCCCCTGCCCTAAGTGCTGACAGCCACTGTGAGGGACTAGAGAAAAGGGGGCAGGAAGGAACCGATGGGGATTTTTCATAGCACGTTGTGTGACTCTGCTGATGAGCCCAACCAGCATGCATGTGTGCATTGCCTATGCAGTTAAGACAGCCACTCCCACTGAGCCAATCATGTGAATATCTGACCTTCTGGTGAAGATGGTTTGCTTCCATTTCCAGTGTCCACAACCTTGGCTCTGGGCTTTGTTGGATCTTTTCTTTTCTCTAAATCTTTAACTGGAAGAAAAAAGCAAGAAATAGAGCATGGCATTATATTAATGTCTAAAAGAAAATATTCAATGAGTTTTACTAGAACTCTCCGCAAGACCAAAAATATTAACAGATATTAGCACCATGGTACATACTCTTCCTCAGATGTTGGACTTGATATTTTTCAACTTTGTCATGAAGTACGAAAAGCACTTAAGGCTCAGATAAAATGAACACTGTGGGCAGATGTACCAAATAAATGTAATACTTCATAACAACAGCAAACATGGCATGACTCTCCTCCATCTCATATACAAGGAATGAAAAACTCATATGCTAAAACCTAGCTCATAAAATGAGTGTTGGGCCTAGGATTCAAGCCTTAGTTTCATGTCTCTGGGCTTCGTGTATGGACTTGGCTCCCATTCTAGAATGATAGTAACTGTAGATATTCACATTTAGAATTGCTCTATCTTCAAAACTAAGTGGAGGTTCCCATAATATTTTGGCTCAAACTTAAAAAGAAATTTCCTAACACTTTCTTCAGACATATAGTCACTAGTAAATGCCTGTGTGACTGTAAGCAATCCATGCTCCTGTAAGCAACCCCAGTGAATCTCACTGGGCTCTCAAAAAGAAAATGAGGAAAAGAAAAGGACAGCATGGAAGTAGAAGGGAGACTAGTTGGGAAGAAAAACTCAATCACCACCCGGGGAAGGGAGACGAGGGGGCAGTGAGAGTGAGTGGATGTGATTATACTATACACATGTCTAAAAAAGGCATAATGAAACCCGTGATGTACAATTAATCTACAGTAACAAACATAGAAGACAAAATTATTTCTCTATTCATAAATGACAGTGTTGACCCTTAGTCCTTTAATATGCTCATGCCCACCTGCACCATTAGCTTAGAATGCACTGCATTCTCCGGCTAGAACCCCACAGCAGCCTTCGTACCTAATGTTGTTCAAGGCATCTGAGACTATCATCAAATGACAAGTTTATGTATAAATAAAATGCCCTACAAAAAATGCAGAAACAAGTCAACGGCAAGGTATTTCATTTAATTGTTACTTATAGTTGAAGGAGATAAGCAAATTTACTGGTGAGTAGGCTGCAGGGGGGGAAACAATGATTTCCTCCAGCCGTGCTTGCTGTCTCCTCCAGGACACAACTCCTTAATCCTGTCTTGTCTCCTCGGGACACAGTTCCATCAATCCTCTCTTTACAACATCCTCCTCCTCTTTCTTTCTACTGGCTTTTATTTCTTTGCTGAAAGGGTTTGAGACTTGACATCTCCTCAGGGCAGGGCATATCACTCTAATTCTATTTTTTGCCCTTAAAACCCTCCTTGGGGGTTGGATAGATGGCTCAGCTGTTAAGAGCACTGACTGCTCTTGCAGAGGACCTGTATTCAGTTCCCAGCACCCACATGGCAGCTAACAACCATCAGTAACTCCAGTTCCAGAGGATCTGATTCCTTCTTCTGACCTCTGCGGGCAGTGCACGACATGGGTGCACTTACATACATGCACTCATATACATAAAATAAAAATAATGAAAAAATTATTTTTAAAACTTTCCTTGTCTTTCTGATACCTACAGATTAAGTTCTGAGATATAAAATAATAATTAAAATTGTAATAGTCTTTGATTATGCTAGATTGAATAACCTAATTTTGAAATTTTTATTTATTTTTAATTTTATGTATGTGAGTGTCTTGCCAGCACACATATAAGTGCACCCATGTCGTGCCACAGAGATCAGAAGAAAGGCCCTGGATCTGGAGTTCCTGGCAACTGTTAACTCCCATGTGGGTGCTAGGAACCAGACCCAGGTCCTCTGCAAGAGCAGTCAGTGCTTTTAACTGCTGAGCCATCTCTCCATCCCCATCCATAACCTAATTTTTATATCTACTTTTATACCCCATTCTCTGGCTTCTTTATAAACACTAGCACTAGAGATCTTTTCTTTTACGAAGACATAATCCTGCTTGCCTCCTGTCTCACTAACCTCTCCCATGTGCTCTCATTTTCGGGTACTTTTCCTACTCCCATTCCTGAAGCATGACTCTATACCAAAGTGGTCTTCATCTCTGCACACCCCACCTATAATTTCATCATCTAACAATTCAAAATTCCATCATGGATGACTTCCACATCTGCAGCTTCAACCCCGCCCACACATGGGCTGCAGCCCAGATCACTCACATTAAAAGAAAATACAACTGTAATTTCAATATGAGAAAAATTGTGCTGAGCAACACTGGAAGGAGAAATTGATCTGGGAAAGAATAATCATCATCATTCCAGAAGTGGAGATTTGGAGAAATGTTCCTGGAAAGGGAACACTTAAGTCTTATTATAAAGATGGACAGCAGAATGCAGTCAGAGGTCAATGGAACAGGCTTCCAAAAAGGAAAACTGATGGCTAGGAAGCTTCCCAAAACAGCCCATAACACCAGCTTATACATGAATTTTGAAAAATAAAAAGTTACACAGTTCACACAGAAGACATAATGAATGTTGCATCTTTCAGATAGGAACAAAATCAGTTAGGAACAAACTGTCATGCCAGGTGTGGTAGCAGGCTTGTAATCCCAGGCCTTGGGATGAAGAAAGACCAGGTTCACAAGTTCAAGGTCAGCCTGGTCTACATAGTGAGTTCTAGTCTAGCCTGGACTATAAAGCAAGATCCTGTAACCAAAAAAGGGGTGGGGGGAGAAAAGAAAAAAGAAAAGAAAAGAGGAGATAGAAAGAATGGAAAGGAGGGAAGGGGACAGGGGAGAGGAGAGGAGGAAAGGGAAAGCCAAGGCAAAATGATATTATAACAATAAATTCACCACCACATGGGCTTCTTTCTGCCTTAAGTCCAAATTTTGTTCATGGTTCCATGGAGGGGAGGGTCTTACAGGGAGCAAGAATACCAGTGTCCCTCTGCTGCTCAGCTGGTGGATACTTGAAGTCTTCCATCACAAAGCCTTCACACTCAGGGAAAGCAGACTGCCTCTCCTGTCCTTTACCGTTTCTCACAGACCTTGAGAGAAGTCATGTCCAGTACTTACATAAGGACATAGGAGGTCAAAGACCGCAGTTCTGAATAAATGTAGAACTGATTTATTTATACTAAAAATAACCAAAACCTCTTCTATAGCTTCTCAGCAATGGGGATCTCGAAACAGTGTACCATTTATAACATCCGCACCTGCCAACAATGGACTCACCAAACATCTTTGTTCAGAAGTCAAAATGACAAAGTAGTTCCCTCTAAAGCAAACAATAATAACTTTGTGGATCTAAAAGAAAAAAAGTCTATGATTTTAAGCTCTTAGAATACATACTACAGGCACAAATCCAATGTTGGACAGGGCCTCAGGTGGTACTTTAAGACCTGTAAATACGTACTTCTGAACTGGCCTTGAGCTGGCTTGCTTTCTTTGTCTTTATGGTATGCAATAATTTGAACTGTGTAATTCTGCTCTGGCAGGAGACCTTGAATAATTGCTTTTGTTGCAGTGTTCTGGAGATTCAATTGGTTGGTTTTGCCCCCTATAATAAAACAGAAAGATAAGTAAGCTATAAGTAAATGAATGCTCTGAGAAAGTTTACTAACCGCAAATCAAGATTTTTAAGAGACAAAGACATTTTTAGAATTTATTTTGGTTCTATGTTTTACAGTACACAATATGTTTTGATATATAGCAAAAGGTAATGACATTTGAAATACATATGCTGACACGTGTATAGAGCCTAATTGTAATGTAATTTTCATTCTCCTGTTCAGCATATTCTTTTGCATTAGATAACAAATGGTTGCCTACATTAGATTAAAAAGCAGTCATAAAAATATTCCTTCATCATACCACACAATTACATTTATTCTCTAAGAGAAACTATAGTACAAAATTAGAAAGCACGTTCTCAGCATCAGGTAGTCTTGAAGGAAAAGGATCACTTAAAAGTGCAGGGAGACACATGAGCTGGCTGAATGTAATTATCCATGCTGGTATCTTTTCCTCTGCTCTCTGAAGTAATCTAAGGCATCCTTGAACCGTGAGCAATTTAATTACCTTAAATCTGGCTACCACTGGCTCAGGATGCCAAAAGAAATACTCAGTGCCTGTCTACTTAAAAGTTAGACTCATAAAAAGATTTCAAAATCCCCATCAGACTGACATCTAAGGCTTTCTTGAAATGCTTTTGGTAAATATTAAACTTTTATGCAAAACCCCAAATATACTTTTCTTCCCTAATTTCTGTCAGTGATTCCCAATCTGATAAAAGGGAAATTAATTTAAAACAGCTGTTCCTCTAACAGTAACAGCCTCAGAGAGGTCTGAGTTAACACAGATCATACATAGTACATTTGAACTACATACTAATAAAATTATTAAGTAAAGCTGAAATTTGTCTTGCTATTATTCAAGCTTCCTCCTACTAAACGACGAAACTGAGCTTTCTCTTACCAAAGCCCATTCCTCTAAGTATCCAAGATGTTAAATTTTGCTTCACAAACTTCTATCATTCAAAACTCATCTATCATAAAGTATACAAATCTTACATAATTTATACATCACTTTTTAAAAGGTTCTTAGAAAACCCTGAATATTATAATCTCTCTTTGGAAGGCAGAACATAGTATTTTATTAAAGACTTTGAGACTCATGAAATAAAAAAAAGCTTTAAACTCTTGTCTAAACCAGCATTTCCCAAATTTATTTGACCATTAAACCATTTGGATGCATATCAGCTATCGGCATTCTGCAGAACACCATGAAACATTCTTTGGGAAAGATTGGCATAAGCAAGACTTGGTCCATGATTCACAGTGCTAGAACACACAAAAACATTTTATAGTTAAATGTACTTAGTAATCTTTTAATTTACTGTGTTTAATAAAGTAGATACTAGTATATCAAAACTGACTGATTGACTTAGCCATTGTAACAAGGACAGTGCATAAAGTAAACCCAATATTCATTAAGAAATAATTTACTCTTTCAATTTTTGTCACTGAAAGGATTTAGGCAAGTTAGGGATCTATCCCTTGGGTACACTGTCTCAGATGGGATTAAAGGATCAAGTTGAGGTTTGGTTCATAAGGCACTTGCATCAGTTATAAGATTCTGTGATTCCTTGATGACATGTGTTTGGGCTACTTAATAGTTTAGCATTATTAGTAATTGTCTACAAAAAATAAAGTACTTAGTGCCTATAAGGAAAAAAGGTTTTCAAGACTTGATATAGGGAATTTTTTAGTTCCCCAAATAGTAATTCGGAATGAGTCTGTAATGATATTTTGTAACCAAGCAAGAAGCCAGGTGTTTTATCTACCTATCTTAGAGATTTATAAATGAAACACTGGGTAATATTCCACAGTTGTGAACAACAATAACAACAAAAATGTATCTTCCTCATTAAATCTGTTGGGAAAGAGTCCCCAATAGAAATAAGTCCAGTTATATAACCATCTCCACCACCTGTTATATTTATACAAACATACAGGTGTGATGGCTAATCTTTATTGTCAAGATGCCTAGATGTAAGATCAGAAAGAAGATAGGTGAGGCAAGCCTCTGGGTATATGTAGATAACAGGAAAAAAAGGATGGATGTGGGCAATATGGTTCCATGACCTGGGAAGTCAGGCTTAAACAAAAAAGACAAAACAGAGAAAGTCAGGTAGGTGTCAGAGTCCCTTTCTCTGCTTCTCTTCTTTCTAGTCAGCCAGGAAGTGAATAGCTCTCCTCCAACACATATGCCCACTGCCATGATGCTCTGCCCAAATGGATGGGCAAAGTAACCATGGACTCAAACTCAACCTCTGAAAACAGGAGCCAAAATAAATCTTCCTGTACTTAAATTATTTATGTCAGAAATTCTGTCACAGCAGCAAGTAGCTAATACATTAAGGCCATGGTATTATTATTAAGTATTTATTTTGTGCTTCCTCAGCAGTGTGGAAACCCTGAAGAGGCTCTGTGAGCAAACTCTTTCAAATGATCCTAGAGCAACATTTGGCACCACACATCTTTAACTATCTGTGTATAAAGAGCTCCCGGAGCTCCAGAAGATGTAGTTGATTATCTTTACCTGATGCTGGAGCCACAAGAAGTTTGTATCCACCGAATTTCCCTCTTGGAGCCTTCCATGAAATCTGTATGCTGTCATGTGAGATCACATTATATCTTAACCTTGTGGGTGGAGCCACTGGAAAGGAACAGCAAAAAATGGCTTAAACATGGAAATATTTAAGTCTAAATTGAAAAGTCAAAGTAGCATAGCCAATGTACCCAAGACTTCATCGGCATCGGAAAATGTTCTTTCTACAATTCTAATGATAAACCAGTGTGCAAAATAAGACAAACTCATGGGCATGTGCTTTTGACTCCAAAGACACCGTCTGTCAAATAGCACTGGCCTTATGAAAAAAAAAGAGATAAGACATGGCTAAGATACTGTTAGGATTTAATTTCTAGCCTAGTTTAGAAATTGAAGCCAAGCTTGTAAAATGCTTCCATTATGGGACAAGATGAGTTTTTCTACTTGGAACATAAAAGCTTTCCTAATCTAGTCTATTGGGCCATAGAATGCATGCCTTCAGGTTTTCCACTGTGGTAATCAAATGCTTTTGATGACATGATATTGGAGAAGGCTATTTCAGGCATATTCTGGCAATAAAATATTCATTTAAAAACATTTGATATGGACTGGAGACATGGCTCAGTAGTTAAGAGCACAAATTGTTTATGCAGAGGATCTGCGTTTAGTTTCCAACACCCACATTGGGCAGCTTATAACTCCTTATAACTTCAGCTCCAGGGGATTTGACATCTTCTTCTAACCTCTGAAGGTACTGCCCTCACATACCCACACAGTGACACACACACATGTGCATATAATTTGTTTTAAAAATAAAAATAATAGAAATTTAAAAGTAATAAAGCATTTGAGAACATAATTGTAAAGAAATTAAGGATCAAATATAAGATAGTTATGTTTTTTAAACTCTGATCTACTCTTCAAGAGAAGCTGATTTATACCTGTCAGATAGCACATGATTGTAATTCAACCCCCATTATCTAATCTATTGAAATTTCACACACACAAAAAAAAAAATAGATGTCTTTACTTTTTATGTAAGTCATTAAAACCTCAAAATGTGTTTTGGAACCTTCTGTAAATGCCCCAGAGTTTCAAAAGTACTTATGTATGAAGATTTTTTCACTATATAATATAAAAAGAAAAGTTATTAATTGCCTAAAAAGAAAAGTTATTAATTAACAGAAAAGTCAAAGTTAGCACTCATTACCCACTTTGTGCCCAGCCTTTTTTCTTGTTTTAGGAAGCAGTGTAGGAGAAGGAAGCAGACATCCTCCCAGAAAGGCATGTGGCATAATATAAGCAGACATTGGTTTGATTCCCAGTTCTGTCATTGATTAGCTAAATAACTTTAATCAGGTGGACAGATCTTCCAAAGCCAGTTTCCTCACTTTTAGAAAAAGTGATAGTTTCTACAAAGGCTAGATCATGACTTTAAATAGGATAACTGATATAATTAATATAATAGGTGACTAACAGATAATTTCCCCTTCCTCTCACTTCATCTAATAAGTGAGTTTAGAAACTTGTTTAAATCCTCACAAAAATATATTTTTGTCCCAATTTTACAGATAAAGGACCCAAGGAGCAGCTGCTACGAAGCTTGTTTGAGCTCACGAAGTAGGGAAGGATGATTTCTGACCCAGATGAACTCCACGCACTGCTTCTTAGAAGATCCCTGTTAAGAAATCGCCCTGCCTTCAGCTAAATGAGGAATCAACTACTCTGCAAACTACTCACTCATGTGAATTCAGTAAGTACTGAAGGACACATCCAAACAGTATTATTCTCTTTCTGCATGTCCTTTACACTTATAGGTAGAGCATGCCATTTTTTAAATAAATAATTGAGAATTTCATACATGCATATAAGGTGTTTTGATCAAATCCACGCCCACTCCCTCCCCTCCAACTCCTCCCATATCTCCCCATCACTTTTTTCTGATAACTTCGTGTACTCCTTCTTCTTCTCTGGTTTATTTATTTCTTTATGGAGTTTTTGGTTACTCTAATAGTCCCCCTTCTGAAGAGGTAAACCTGAATTTTTCTAAGGATTAGATAAACGCTCCCAAATATTTTCGACCTTTTTCCATTTTATGCCACAACAAAAACATTAGCTGGGGCTGGAGAGATGGCTCAGTAGTTAAGAGCAATTCATGTAGAAGACCCAGGTTCAGTTCCCACACCCACACGGCAGCTAACAACTGTTTATAACTCCAGTTCCAGGGGATCCAGCACTCTCTTCTGGCCTCTGAGGGTATTGCACTACATGAGCGCACTTACACATATGCAGATAAAATATTCATACACATAAAATAAAAATAAATTTTTAAATTTTTAAAATAAAAACATTAGCTTCCCATTTTCAGTTTGATATGAATGGAAGAGTTTGCATTTCTCTGGTTAATGGAAAAATATGAATTTATCGTAAGAACAACATTTTCTAAGATTTTATTTTTAATTATATGGAGTTGTGCACATGAATACCAAGAACAACTATTTTCAAACCTAGCATTTAGATGAACAAAGAAACTGACTATTTTTTTCAGTTTTCAACTGGAAAAGAAAATCTATGTACAGATGTATTCTTATTACATGTGGGAGAAAATAAAAAATAAGAATTAAAAATTTTAAATAACATTTCTGAACCGAATCAAATCAGCAGGTTGGCAGGTAGCACCGACTGAGCTGTTGCATGAGAATGTGCTGCTGAAAGGAAGCTGGCATGCCTGGGAACCATGGAGGGGAAACAGAGAGCAAGCAGGTGGGAGCATCCATCTAAGCAGGTCTTAGAGGGTCGGCACATTCTGTGAGCACCCCGGGTGTGCTGACATCCCAAGGAGAGCAAAGAAATTAAGAGCATTCAGGATTGCTAGGCTAGACAGCAGACATCCACAGAGGATTCCCCACTGTTCTTTGAATGCTGTGTGAGTTCTCTGCCTTTAGGTCTCTTAACAAATAACCTTCTCAACCACTAGCAGAAAACAGCAAGTGCTATACTAATTAAATTCACATGGTCATCTAGAACCCAAAGAAGGGGCTGGAGAGATGGCTCCATGGCTAAGAGCACTAGCTGCTCTTGCAGAGGACCTGGGTTCAATTTCCAGCACCCACATGACTGCTAACAACCATCCATAACCACAGTTCCAGAGAAATCCAGTGCCCTCTTCTGACCTTCACAGGTACTGCATGACACTGGTGCACTTGCACGCAGTTATTACATTCATACATAAAATACAGATAAAATATAAAATAAAGTAAAATAAAATAGAGCTCAAAGAAATAGATTGTGATATAAGTGCCACAACGAAGTCCACAGCTACAGTATGACTGTGAAAAGCCCTGACAACCTTAAACTAACAGATCACACCCAATGCCAAAAGAAGCATAAATACTCTCACAATCACTCAAGCAAAATCCTGGATAGACATGAAGCATAATTTCCTTTAAATTTTTGCCTTTGGGCAGAAATACTTTGCAAAGAAGAAATGCTAATTAAAAAAACAGGCGAGGGGTCACAGCTCTGGATTTCAAAGTTAGCCTTGTCCCTACTCTTGGAAGGCACTGGGACCTGAGCCAAAGCAAGGGCAGCAAAACTGACAGGAACACTGTAGAGAGTCATGGAAAAATAATTGCTCTTATCTCAGAGAACAAGAATCTATGGGTTTTTTTCCCCTCTTTGCAAACACAAAGGAAGTGCTTTCTGTTCTATCTGTGCATGTAACTTCCAGCAAATGCTTGTGAGAACTTGACTCAAAAGGTAATTTGAGCAGTAGGGGGAGGTGGGGAGAGGGGAGCCGATCTAAATGCCATCGAACTACATTGTATAAAAATTGCAGAAAGTCAATTTTAAAAAATGCGAAAAAAAAGTTAATTTGTGTCACTTCAAATCTTCATCTTTTCTCTCTGGTTTTTGTTTGTTTGATTGGTTGGTTGGTTGTTTGGTTGGCTGGCTGGCTGGCTGGTTGGTTGGTTTCTTTGGTATTTTTGAAACAGGGTCTCCCTGTAGACCCAGATGGCCAGTAACTCACTGTATAGACCAGACTGGACTGGATCTCACAGAGATCCACTTGACTCCTTCTCTGGAGTACTGGGATTAAAGGCCTATGCCACCACACCCAGCCAAGTCTTAATCTTTTCAAAAAGACAAGTGTAAAGTTTGATTTGGGGTACTCACCGGGAATCCAGAGGGAGCTAACAAAATCATACTGTGGGTGCTGACATGAGATTAGGCCCAAAAGAAAACTGGCTTGTTACTGAAAGTACTGGGGCTGGTTCTGGATTGTTCTTTGTGTGAGAGGGGCAATTCTGCAATCTTCCCATGGGAGCCCATGGGTGGGAGAGACATTTTTTTATTATTCCATTGAAGTCTCACTGTCATCAAGCATTTAGGAAATTATATTCCAGGATCTACTTGTTCAAGGGATTCTGCTATTCTCTCTTTCTTTCTTTCTCTCTCTCTCTCTCTCTCTCTCTCTCTCTCTCTCTCTCTCTCTCTCTCCCTCTCCCTCTCCCTCTCCCTCTCCCTCTCCTCTCAACTTAGCTGCAACCTTGCTGTTTTGACAAGTGACAATCTGTGTAGCAACTTATTTCTAGTGAAATATTCTCATTAATTGCTTGCAACACTGTTCTACACAGGGATGAGACAAGAGATATCTTGTGTGTGCCAAGAACCATGTCCCCTCTTCCTTATCTAACACACATTGGTTTTCTTCCAAGGAACATCCCCAACCCCTCCCATTGTACAGAGGTACACTACTAATTGTCCACAACCCCTGGGTTAGAAGTAGGAAGGTGACTCAAACCATGTCAGGCAGGTTCTCCCGAGAGTCCAAAACTTGAGTCCAGTGATGAAAAGAGGGTCAGTGTCTCAGGTGGTTTTATTCCAATGTCAAGCACACTTAATAAGAAAAGGCATCTGGTCCCTACATGCTGCATCCCAGGAGTTCCAAGACTCTTAGCTTTTCCAAGTTTGATATTTTAACTTTTATTTTGATTGTATGAACTACTGTGCTATCTACTAGTGTTCTAGTTTGCTTCTCCATTGCTGTGACAAAACACTCCTCCCAACTTGGGGAGGAAAGGGTTTATTTGGTTTACATCTCCTAG